GTTGGAGATATTCTTATTTTTGGGGCTGGCACAAAATTATTGGAAAGCTACTTGGCAAAATAAGAAATATTTAAAAATGCTCTTTTAGCCAGTAATGTGCCACACAGAATTTTCTTCTAGGAAAACAATCTAAAAGGGAAAGAAAATGCTCAGAGACTTCCCCATAGCTTCATTTGCCAAACTGAAATGTTGGAAACAACTTCAAAGGAAAATACAGAGGAGTCAGCCAAGTCAAGGAAGGCCCATCACCTTAACATGGTGCATCCTTTCCAGAGAGGACCACGCAGCACCAGGAGACCATGGAGCAACACAGGAAAATGCTCACAACACAGTGCAAATGGAAAAAGCAGGATATGAAAGTATCTCTACTAGTATTACAAGAATCTAAAAAAGGATGCCAAGGGCCAGAAGGAAACAGGAAAAAGTGAAAACAGCTAGTAGAAGCTATTCTGGTCGTGAGACTGTGGTGATTCTTCCTCTTACACTCTTTTCCTATTTATTGTTTTAAATAGGAAAACATATCAGGAGGTGGACTTCCCTGGTGGCGCAGTGGTTAAGAATCCGCCCGCCAATGCAGGGGACACAGGTTTGAGCCCCAGTCTGGGAAGATTCCACATATTGCGGAGCACCTAAGCCCACACACCACAAATACTGAGCCTGTGCTCTAGAGTCCTCGAGCCACAACTACTGAGCCCATGTGCCACAACTGCTGAAGCCCACATGCCTAGAGCCCGTGCTCTGCCACAAGAGAAGCCACCACAATGAGAAGCCCGTGCACCGCAACAAAGAGTAGCCCCTGCTCGCCGCAACTAGAGAAAGCCTGCACGCAGCAACGAAGACCCAATGCAGCCAAAAGTAAATTAATTAAAAAAAAAAAAATCAGGGGACAAGGGGAAGAATAAGCGTTGCTATGAAATATTAAACTTATAAACACAACACCTGCTGCCCTAAATCTGACATGGCCTAATAATGTTCAATCAAGCACAGAGCTGTTTTAACCCAATATCCAGGTTGGTCAAAGCTGTTGAAATGTGAAAGGTTCACCCGCATGTAGTCTGACACAGTGAAAGACATCAACCAGAGTAACCTCTTTCTATGTTTCATTTTAAAAAGAGGTTGAGAAAGGAAGGACCCATCTGTTAAATGATGTATCGTGATGGGGATGCTGCCTCAGGGTCAAGGTGTGGCTCCCTGGAGAGCATATGCCCTGACTGAGGGCAGCAGTCTGCTCAAGGCCAGCTACTGCTTCCACGCAAGGAGCCGTCCAATTCATCAAGAGAAGCCAGAAATCCAGATTTACTGTGCAATCTCATTTTTAAACAGTGACAACTAATTCAAAAGTTAAAAAATTATATATTGTTGAGAATGAACAAAAAGATCTGTAGGCTGGATGCGGCCTGCTGGCTGCCAAAGGAATACTTGAAATGCCCTAAACTAGGGGATGGTTGACCTTTGGAGTCAAGTGGCCATCAAGAAGATTCCATCTGAGGAAGTGTAATGGGGAGGAACAAGAGTAAATCAAGCGGATTTTCATGCCATCTGAGGTAACAGCTACATGATGTACCCGAACTGCACTCAGTCCCCTCACCCCTGCCTCACAACAATTCTAGGTGTTATTTTATTCTGTTTTGCAGATGGGTCAAAGGAAATGCAGTCCTTGCACGATGAGAATCATCAACTCCCTTTTGTCTTCCTAAGGCCTGCAGCTCAGATACAGACACACATTATCCATGACAAAGCAGCGTTCCACGTATTTCCTCAGGCTCGGTTTGGAAGCACAGGTTCTTGGTGACTCTGGAGCTGGGTGTGCCTTGTACTCTGCCACCACCATACCATGTTAGCGATGCCAGTCCTGCCCACTGCCTACCTCACACCATGCTGTGGTTTTAGATAAACTGACAGGCCTAAGCCAACAATACCACTCTAAAAACCCAAGTGTTACCCTTGTGCAAATTCAGGAGCTCTTGATGCTAAAATCTACCCGTGACCCACACAAGCAGGAGTAGCTATGTTACCTGGCCACGAAGCTGGCAGTCTTGTCAACGATATTCCTGACCTCTGGAGGAGGGTAAATAATACCCACCACTGGCTTGGAAGGGGTAGAATCCTCCTTTGAAGATGCTTCCTCTTCTGTGGGCTGTGAAAACAGGAAAAGGAAGGTCTTAAAGTTCCTGGCTTGGTGCCAGATGCCCACCATTAAACTCCTCTAGGATATTATTGAGAATACAGGCTCTCCCGCCCAATTCATCGAGACTTTCCTTGAGTCAGGAACCTCTGCTCCAGAAGAGCCACTCTCTCAACTGCTCTGTGCTTGCATGGGACTTCCCCAGGGAACCAATGAAAAGAGCAGCCTCTCTGGCTCCCTTCCAGCTAGAGCATCTCTGTGACACTGGGAATCTGCATTTTTACCAAGTGTCCATGTGATTCAGATGGAGGGGGGAAATCTAACCACGTTCTGAGAAACCACATTCCCGAATCCAGAAGGCCATGCCTGTATCCCCACCCTTGGATGTGCCTGATACGGGATATGTAAGAATTGTCTGCTGAGTAAAGAAATGGGAAACTCCTTGCTGGCCACTTCTTCTGCCTTGAATGCCCTTTCCCTCTGCATCCATTCCGTAGTCTAAACCGTCACTTAATGTTCAAATGTTTCGTGAAACTCCACTGGAATACTCAACATTAACTGCCCCATAAATTCCAATATTCTTTCCTCACCAGCTTCTTCCCCTTAGTAAACAAAGGTTCAAGTCTCTCATTTTGGAGAAACAAAGTTTCTCCTCTGTCCTCATGCTCCTTTCTGCTACTGCCTTCTCCCCGCCTTCCTCTGGTAGCTAAACAGCCTGAGTTCTCTCAGCCTTGCCGTTCCCACTTGCTCAGCTCCCATTTGATCCCCCTTCATTTCAAGTGCTCATGCCAAAGTCAAAAATGACGGCCTACAGCCAGCTACATCAGTTATCTGGCCGTGTGACCAGTGACCGCTCCTTCACAAAACTCTCAACTCCCAGGTCCCGTTCTCACCTGTATTTCCTTCTTGCTCACCATTCCATCCAAGTTTCTCTCCTGGCTCCTGTTTCACCTCCTGCCCTATAGTGTTAGGGGGTCCCCAAAATTCTGTTCTTGGTTCTCTTCACACTATACACACTGTCCTCAGTCAGGCACTTACAAAACGTCCTCCACTTCCCCTAGCACCTATAGGCTGAACCATTCTACCCCCGTCAACGTCCCACATCACTCTTATGTGCCACAAAGCTTTAGATCCAGCAGTTCTGGGCACTTTCATCTCTAACCGCTTTCCTCATGAACGGCCAACCATGCCTCCAGTCATCCCGGGCAGAAACGTGAGTCTCTTCTCCCTTCCTCAGCCTACACATTCAATGATAAGAACATTTATCAAACATAGAGTAGGTTCCATATACTTTCCTAAGCACTTTAAGCACATTAGATCTATAACCCTTACAGAGCTCTAAGAGATTAAGTACTCTTATTATTATATTATTGTCTTGTCATTTTACAGATGGACAAACTGAGGAATGGAGACCTTAACTGGCCCAATGGCAGAACCAGGATTCGAATGCATCACTTTGGAGGGAGAGCCTGCACCACAGCCCTTTTGTGATCTGAGCTTGCCAATCCCCTCTGTCCCATGCCCCAGCCACAATCTAGGCCAGGCTCTCAACATCTTTTGAATAACATGACTAACCTGTCCTCCTAGCAATTCTCCCCATCACTGTTTACCTGAATTTCTGAAACACAAATATGTCACTATCCGGCTTACATCCCTTCCTTTTCTCCCAATAGCCTGCTACGAAAACTTCAAATCCCCAGAAATACACCTCTTAACCACCACTTTCCCAACCCTATGCTTTAACCTTCTTTACTCTTGACAAGAGGCACCATCTGATTCCCACCTTGGTATCTTGGCACTTATCTGGTATTACCTTGGTTATTTTTCCCCAAGATACTGGGAAAATGCCAGGGATACATAGGTATTTGCAGTGGTCAGCATACAGGATGTGCTCAATAAAGTTTTTCTAAATGAATAAAGAATGGTATTTCCCTTCCCAATCACCTATCTGGTGAACTACTGATTCATTCTTCTAAACGCAATTTACCTTTCACGCCGGTGGGCTTCACCTACCTTAATCTCCCCTATATCCCACCAAAGCAATGTTGATTAGAATTCCTGTCTCCTTTGTACTTGATACTTATATCACACTGCAATTACTGACCCACGTCTTTCCTCCTTAGCTGACTGAGATCTTTTGAAGGGCTGGCTGAAACTGTATCATTTATGGTAACCGAGGCAATAAACATTTATTGAGTATTCACTTATATCTGTCTCCCCACTAGTGTGTGAGCTCCCTAAATAAAGCAGGAACTGCGCTTCATTCATTCCGTCAGAGCCTGGCACAGTGTCTGGCTTAGAGTAAGCACTACACAGATGCTGAGAATTAACGTTCCAAGATGCACCGTGCAGGCTGGGAAATTAGGGACTCCTGGGCAAAAACTGGGGGCCGGTGGGCCCAATTAACACAGAAGACCGGTGGATGCGCTGGATCAGTGCTTCTCAAATTTTAATGAATCACCTTGGGAGCCTGTTAAAATGCAGATTCTGATTTAAAAGGTCTAGGGTGGAAACTCAGAATTTCTAATAAACTCCCAGGTGATGCTAGCCGGTCCGCGGACCACACTTTGAGAACTCCTGTTCTAACAAGCTTGCTTCGCTACCAGAAGGTAGGCGGGAAGCGCGCTGCCTCCTGGGACCTGGAGTCCCTCCAAGCCCTCGCAAATCGCCGTTTCTTCCTGCACCAGTAAAGAGGGCCCGCGCCCGAGGGGAAGGCCCAGGTCGAGGTGCGGGGGTCGTGGTACCTGTTTGGGCTCGGTGGCCGCGGGCGGCGGCGGGGGCACCGCCTGCACGGGTCCGGCCGGCATGACTGCGATGCTCAGGGCTGCCAGTCCGCCTCTGTATAGGTGAACGGTGTGGCGTCAAAGCGGCTTCCCCGCTCCAACAGTACAACAAGCTCGCAAGATGGCGGCGGCCGAGCGAGTCGTCGTCGAGGGGGGCGAGGCTGACGCACTTCCGGGGCCGCCCCTTCTCCGTGACGTAAATTCCCGCCCCTCCCTCTCGATAGACGCCGTTGCCGTGGCAGCGGTCGGGGAGCCGGGATGCGTTTTGCCGGGGATCCCAGGAGTGGCAGGCGCGCCTAGGGGCAGTTTCATGAGCCGACCAGACACAGTGGCTGAGGCTGCGACGCCGGAGACTGGTGAGACGTTTTACATCTCCCGCCGACGCCCTCGCACGCACCCCACGGCCCCGGCCCCCCTACCCTTTACTCCACCAGAAGATTCCTCTCTCTCTCCGACCCCCGCCTTCCAAGGCCCCCGCTCTCTCCCATTGGCCTCCCACTTTGGCCAAAGCCCCGCCTCCCTATTCCCCCAGCCCCCTCTTTTGCTTTCAGGCCCACCTCTTTCAGACCCCCTTCCCAAATCTCAATCCCTAATTCCCACGGGTCCCTTTTCCCACGGGCCTGCCTTTTCCAGTTCCACCCCTGGCTTTCATAGTCCCCCCCTCAAACCCCGTAGACCAACTCAAATCAAGGCTTCCTCTTTAGGCTCCACCCCTCACGCCCGCAGGTTGGTCCCTGCGGACCACTTTCCCGCACCGCAGCACACCTCGAATCCCGCCCTTTTCGCTTCACCTCCTGAGATCCTCTCCTCCCTTTCCCCTCTCTCCCAACTCCTGAACCCTGGCCTGGACTTCAATTTCTTCACCTGTGAAATGGGGGGTGGGGGAGGGGGGATAGGAAAAGATGCCCTCCCAAGTCTCCTCCCCGTCTCTCTTCCTCACATACACACCATAGCTGGTTTATGTCATTCTTATTATTATTGTTGAATTATAATGATAGTTAGGATTTATTGAACACGTACCATGAACCAGACCATGTGCCAAACACTACATGCATTCCATCATTTATTTCATATAGCAACTTACTTACAGGTGAGGACAGAGAGGTTCACATCCTCAGTTCACATGGTGGAGTGAGAATCCAAACCCAGCCCATTCTTCTCTATTAGTGCAGTTACTTACTCCTTTGTCTTCACTGGATTCCTTCAGTGTCCCCAAGGATCCAGGCAATTAGCACTCCTGAGTCAGAGACTGACACTGCCATTTAGATGGTTTTAGAGTTTCTAAAGTGTTTCCATGGGTGCACTGGCCAGGAGGGAGGCATAATCTTTACCTGAGGGGTAGGGTCCCAGCGGTCTCGAGAGAGAAGCGGGAGAAGAGAGGGAAAGGACTCGAATGTTAAACGGGAGTGCAAGAAAGGCTCCTTCACTTCTCTGCGAGTTAAAAGTCCACCTTGGGCTGAGGGGCCTGAGGAGAGGCAGAGTTACCTGCTGCTCCCACACCAGGGTAGTGGTGGCTCAATTAGTGCCAGCACTTGTGTGATTTCAGGAACAGTGCGGGGCTGGCAGCTTCAGGGAGAGGGTTCTACTCAGGACCCAGGAATTACAGAGAAAGCCTGTGTCAAATGTTCCTTCACTTGACACACACACACACGTGTTTCTCAAAACAGGCTTGTATCTGCAAATCCCCACTGTTCAGAAGAAACGACGTAGGGTAACCTCGGATGTTTTTCAATGTTGTGTTTCAGAATGTTTCAGTCGGTTTTTCTGTTTGTTTCTGCCTCATTCTTTGGGGACATAACACCTCATGGGTGGCAATATCTTATGAGAGGCCATCACTGAGGCAACATTTGTATGTGGGAAGTGGACCTGTGTGTGTGTGTGTGTGTGTGTGTGTGTGTGTGTGTATTGTGGGGACTCATCACCCCACCTGTGGGTGGAACTGTAGAGCTGACACACCAAGACTTGCCCCCTGCAGAGACCCTCAGACATAGATGGTGCTTCCTGGGGGACAGTGCTCTGTGTGCCCTGCTCTGTCCCTATCCCTGACACAATGCCCAACATGTAGAAGATACTCAGTCACCATCTGCTTAATGAACACAGGATCTGACCCCCTACCCCTGCACTGTCCAATATAATAGCCACCAGCCCATGTGGTGCTGTATATGAAAATGGTGGCTGGTCCAAATTGGGATGTGCTATAAGTGTCAAATAGACATTGGATTTTGAGACTTAATGCAAAAAAATAGACTTAATATTTTATATTGATTTAACATTGAAGAGATATTTTGGGTATATTAAGTTAAGTAATACGTTATTAAAATTAATTTACCTCTTTCTTTTTAGTTTTTTTAATGTGGCAAGTATAAAATTTTAAAACCCATACATGGCTTGCATTATATTTCTTTTGTCCAGTGCTGGCCTGAAGTAGTATGGCCTGAAGATGTAGGACTCAAGAGTCTCAGCTCCCTGAGTGATCTTAGGCTAGCCCCCTAACTTCCCAAAGCCTCAGTTTCCTCATCTGTTTAAAGGAGGTGGACTTGGGGACTTCCCTGGGGGTCTAGTGGTTAGGACTCTGCGCTTCCAATGCAGGGGGTGCGAGTTCAATCCCTGGTCAGGGAACTAAGATCCCACGTGCCGCGTGGTGCAGCCAAAAAATAAAAATAAATAAATAAAGAAGGTGGATTTGGAAAGTGGCCGACAGTAGGTCCTCTAGTCAGAGCCAGCGGTGCTCAGGCTCAAGGCTGGCAACCCCACCTGCCCTTTCCCTCGCCCCATCCTCCAGCCTGAAACAACCCCCTTCTTCTGGGACAGCCTCCTCCCTGCCCCCCACTCCCAGGAAGCCCTCCCTGAGTGCCCACTCCCTCACTCTCCCTACATCCAGTCCCAGGGACTGCAGAGCTGGACACGGGAAGCCAGGCACCTGGCTGAGCTTCTGACCCTGAGCCCGAAAGCCCGCAGGCAAGTCCAAGAGCTGGGGGCACTCAGACATCCAGCTCCACGGACAGGCACCTGTGCAGAGGTGAGGACAGGGCCCAGTCCTCTGGGAGGCCGGAGAGGCTGGCTTGCCCTCAGGAACCACCCTGGGACCTCTGGGTTTCCCTGCACCTGTGGGCACAGGCAGGCCCTCGGGTCCCAGCCCAGGTGGCCAGGTCATACCGCAGTGAACTAAAAAATGGTCTACGTGCTCGCAGGGAGACAGATTCCCAACTGCAAATAATGACTCAATGATTCCATGCCACTGTGGTGTGTACTGGGAGGGAAAAGCACAGGCTGCTTTGAGAATGTGTAACAGGGGACCTCACCAGCCCGGGGATCTGCGGGAGGCATCTTATTTAGACAGAGTATGGGGAGGAAGCATATTCTACGGGGGTGAGACGCCGAGGTGCGAGGGGGTGCTGGGGAGGGGAGAGGGCGACCCTCAGGAAGGCTCGGGCAGTGGTCTGGGGGAGGTGGGGGGTGTGGAGCAGTGTTGATGGACAGAGGTGGCGGGTTCTCAGAGTGGGTGGGATGTGGAGCTAGCAGCACTGGGTGCCTGGATGTGGGGATAAAGGAAAGGGATTCGAGGAAGTGCCCAGGTGCTTCCAGTGAGGGTGCCATTTTCTGCAATGAGGAAGGTTGGGAGATGGAAACAGGTTGGAGGAAGAGAGGTTTCCCTGCCAGGCCTGGACTTCCTGGGGGCCTAAATCCTGCCCAAGCAGCCCCTACTGCAGGGTGGGGCTTTGGTGCAAGGAACTTTCTGCTGCTGAGAAAACCACAAAGGACAAGGGGCCCCCACTGCAGGGTGGGGAGGGACCAGGGCTCAGCATCCACAGGGCTGCTGGCTCTGACACCTGCTGTCAGAGGCCTGCGAAGAGCCACGGGAGGGGCCAGACCTTCTGAGTCAAGGGCCAGGGATGGTTCATCCAAATCACTGTCTTCAGATGTCCACACACGGCAAAGATGGAAGGGAAGCAATCTGTGCGGGCCGCAGGGGAGAAAAGGAAATATGGAAGGTAGACAGCAGCTCCAGACAAGGATGGTCTTTGCTGTTGTTACTGCTAGTAATAGTAATCACAGTAATAATAGTTACTATGGCTGCAGAACTTTTACTGGTGCCTTGCCCTGGACCGAGCACTTTTTTATTTTTTTTTGTTTTTTGCTGTGTTGGGTCTTCATCGCTGCCTGCGGGCTTTCTCTAGTTGTGGTGAGCAGGGGCTACTCTTTGTTGTGGTGCGCGGGCTTCTCATTGTGGTGGCTTCTCTTGTTGTGGCGCATGGGCTTCAGTAGTTGTGGCACGAGGGCTCAGTAGTTGTGGCTCACGGGCTCTAGAGTGCAGGCTCAGTAGTTGTGGCACACGGGCTTTGTTGCTGCGCAGCATGTGGGATCTTCCCAGACCAGGGAACCAACCTGTGTCCCCTGCATTGGCAGGTGGATTCTTAACCACTGCACCACCAGGGAAGTCCTGGACCAAGCACGTTACTTGCAGATACCACCTGGCCTGATGGGGGATGGTGTCCCCATCTTACAAGTGAGACAGCTGGAGCTCAGAGGGGTGTGGTGACTTGCCCATGACCACACAGCCAGAAAGGGGCAGGACTGGGACCCCTGTATCAACATATAATGGACCCCCGTCACTAGAATGATTAGGATAGCTATCCATACAAATTTTCAGGTGTTCCTCTCTTACACTTCAGGACTTGTTTTCCTCCCAAAGTCAAGGTATTTTAAATTTTCTTTGTGGATTCTTTTTCTTTTCTCCGTTCAATTACTAGTCGTTCATTTGTCAGTGAGCATCTGCAATAGGCCAGGCCCCAGGCTGCCATACTGGGGATACCACAGTGACTGAGGTGCGGTGAGGACCTGTCCTAGAGAGCAGAGGCCGTTCCTGCAGAGAGCAATCAGGGCCAAGATGGGGAAAGCCCAGAGGGAGTATCTAAGCCAGCCTGGAGGGTGCTCAGGGAAGGCTTCCTGGAGGAGGTGATGTCCGGGAACCCTGAAGGATGAGAGGAGTTAGGCAGGTGATGGGAATTGGATGGGGGAAGCATGACTCAGATGGAAGAGACAGATGGGCATGGATTCAGAAACGAGTGCCTGCACAGGAGCTGCTGCTTGTAGCTGATGGTATGTGGAGTGGAGGAGAGGGGAGGGGAGGGGAGGTGACGAGAGAGGACAAGGGGAGGGGTGTGCCTGGAGGTAGCCTTTCTCCCAAGGGCCAAAGTGAGTCCTGAGGGGTTGTTGGCCAGTGTGATGTGGTCAGATAGGCTTGGCCCAGGTCTCCATAGCAGAAGTGGATCAGATTCCAGTGGGCAGGCCTGTGGCCCAGCTGGAACTGCTGCTGCAGTCCAGGCAGGAGACGAGAGTGGCCAGGGGTGGTCCAGTGCTCCCCGTCATACTGTAGCTACAACTGTCTTTTTGTTGTCAGTAGCCGGTCCAGTGCTTTGCTCAGGGAGGGAAGGACAGCAAGTACAACCTCATACACAGCTGTATCCACCCAGCACTCAGCAGGGGCCAGGCACACACAGGTCCTCAGAGGGACTTGTGGACCGAGGAAATCAGTAGTGTGGGCGTGGGGTAGGGTGGATGAGAGGGAGGCTGGTGAGGTCACCCACAAACAGGTCCCAAAGGGGCCAGGGAACCGACTTCTCCCCAGGGTCGAGGTTGGATTTCAGCAGGTTTTCTGGGGTTTTCAGAAGCTTCCTCCAGCAGCAGCCACGTGGCTCTGGCTAACGGGGATCCTCTCTGTCCACCCCAGGAGCCACGAGGATGGCACACCTGCTGGGCAGCCAGGCCTGCATGGACAGCCTGCGCAGGGACCTCACCGACCTTCAGGGCACCATCGTGGACGTGTTCTCGCGTGCCGGGCCCGTGCACTTCCCCTCCTGGAAGTTCCCTGACCGCATGGCCTGTGACCTGGACATGGTGGCCCTGCTAGAGCACTACGACCACGTGCCAGGTGACCCCGAGTTCACACAGCTGTCCCACGCTGTGCTGCTGGAGCTGGTCATCGACAGGTGAGAACCTGGACCAAACCTGGTCATCTCAAGATGCTGGCACCCACCCCATAAACCAGTAGCAGCCACAGGATCCGCTTCTGGCGGGGTGATGACATTGATGACAACAATCACCTTTGACTGAATACTGTCGGGGGCCAGCTTGGTTCAGGGCCCTCATAGCGATCTCATCTGTGTCACGCTGTGCTGTGTGTCTCTTTTTTTTTTTTTTTTTTTTGCAGTATGCGGGCCTCTCACTGTTGCGGCCTCTCCCTCTGCGGAGCAGAGGCTCCGGACGCACAGGCTCAGCAGCCACGGCTCACGGGCCCAGCCGCTCCACGGCATGTGGGATCTTCCCGGACCGGGGCACGAACCCGCGTCCCCTGCATTGGCAGGCGGACTCTCAACCACTGCGCCATCAGGGAAGCCCCTGTGCCGTGTGTCTTATAGTCCACCTTCAGGGAGTTGCTGGCCACCCTGTTGGTCTCTGTGACAGCACAGCTCTGACGGCTACTTCTCCAGCCACCGCCAGCTGCTTCCTTAGGGTTTCTGTGTGTCGAGGACACTACAGATGCTGCTCAGACTTTCCATCCCAGGCTGTTTTTCCTGTCCCTTCCATGTGTCACAGGGCCAGACACGGGATGTGCTTTTCCAAATCCTGGCCCTGCTGGGAAGGAGGCCAGTGGATTCCCCTGTAGCCCCACCACTTCTACACTGTCTTTCACATTAGCATGGTTGTCAGCCTCCACTCCCTGGGGACCACAGCCCAGGCTCCATGTGCTCCAAACCCTGCATGCTAATGAAGTCACGGGGGCCAGACAGGCAGGGTCCCCAGCAGTTTGGGGATGACCTGCCTGGAGACAATTAGAAGCCAGGGTAACCACTCAGAGTCCTGGAGGAGCCGACGGTGTGAAAGCACTACCTGGACCCTGTAGGGGGCTGAACATGTGTGAGCCCAGAACACACCTTCCTTCCTTGCTGTGCCCTCTGCTAGGAGTGCCCCGCCTACTCGTCCCTGTGCTGGCCGAGCCCGTCAGGGCCCAGATCAACAATCCGCCTTCTAGAAAGCTGGAGCTGACCCGCCTTCCCACCCCTCGCCTGGCCCGTCTGTCCAGGTCACTCTCCACCCTCCAGTGCTGCTCATTCATTGTCCCCATTCACAGAGGAGAACACCTTGGCCTAGAGAGGGGTATGGCCTGGAGCGGTCAGCAACCCTCCCCCAGGCCCTCTCTGCCCAAGGGCACAGTTGGTTTGGGATGACCCTCCTGCACCTGCAACAAGTTGAGGTCACTTATCTGCCCATATGTTTTGTAAACACAGTATCTCTTCTTTTAAAACAGCCTGAGGGCTTCCCTGGTGGCGCAGTGGTTGAGAATCCGCCTGCCGATGCAGGGGATGCGGGTTCATGCCCGGGTCCGGGAAGATCCCACATGCCGCGGAGCGGCTGGGCCCGTGAGCCATGGCCGCTGAGCCTGCGCGTCCGGAGCCTGTGCTCCGCAGCGGGAGAGGCCACAGCAGTGAGAGGCCCGCGTACCGAAAAAAAAAAAAAAGAACAAATAAAACAGCCTGATTCCCATGCAAATACCTACTTCTCTTCCCAACACCCCTTTTCCTTACAATTAGCCCCTGACTCAGGGTAGGATAGGGACCTGGCTCTCTCACTCTAGTCTCCGTTGTGGCAGAAGCAGCTCATCCCACAGGAGAACCCCCACCCCCAACTAGAATCAGGAAACCGCAGGGCACACTGCCCTGCACACTCACCCTGAGGCCGTGTGCAGCCTCCTCCGCTTTGGGGGTCTCAGCTGGGTCCTCTGCAAGGTGAAGGCTCTGAGCCACACGGTGGAAGGCAGCCACTTACCCAGCACTTTCTGAGGACTCTGGACACAACCAAGGCAAGGCCCAGCCTCCCAGAGCCTCCTAGTCCAGTGGGGAGCAGCCAGGCAGAAGTGCTGCCACCCAGGAGGTCCCGAAGGGGCCCCAAGCTTAGCCTTCAGGGAGGGCTTCCTGGAAGAAGTGGCTCTTGGGTCAGGCAGAGCGTATTCTGAGACGCTCCGAGTCCCTGACGCCCGGGCCGGTTCCCAGAGCAGGAGGCTGCCGGTCGTGTGGTGTGAGGGCACACTGGTGCTGGGCTCTGCCCCAGCCAACCTTGCCATCTCTGCCCACAGGCTCCTGCTGCTGCTTCAGAGCTGTGCGAGCTACTTGGAGAACCTCAGCGTGGAGCAGACGGTGCCCCCCGCCAGGGCTTCCAGGCCCTGCATGTCTGTGGGGCTCACGGTGCGGCGCTTCTGGAACAGCCTGCTGAGGCTGGTCATGCTCATTCGGCAGGTGGCCCCCCAGGTGGGTCAGCCACCCGCTTCCCCAAATGCAGTCACCCTCACATCAGTCCACCTGCCCCAGGCTCCTCACACACCACATGTGCACCTCATCTGTCGCTGGCTCCACTCCGGAGCCCCCACTCAAGGCCCATGCAGCCTGGCAGTTCACAATGCAGGCCTTGGGGGTCATGTGTGGGCCATCTGGTTCTGCAGTTTACACTGTGGGGCTTTGGAAAAATCCTACCTAGTCTGAACCTCAGTTTGTTCATCTGTGCAGTGGGGGTGATAACAGTCCCTACCTCCCAGGGCATTGTTGGGGAATGGTGTTTGTATCGACCCCATTTGTTATGGGTTATTCCGTAACCCTCACAACCACCTGGTGGGCAGGACCACTGTCACCATAATGGGAAGGAAACTGAAACTGACAGTGGCTTCAGCAACACAAGAGCAGACAAGTCCACTAAGCAAGGGCCCAGTACCCGGCAGCTGTGTCTGTCACTGTATTACCCTCCCAGTGCCATGCATGTAACAGCATGGAGCCTGGGCTTGGTAAGCTGAGGCAGCAGAAAGGAGAAGGCATGCTCTCTCACTCACCTTGGTATCAGATATCATCTGAAGGTCTGAGCATCAGGAGTGGCTGCTGTCAGAGAAATCCCCAGAGAGCTGGTCACCTCCAGGGCCCATCTCCCTCACCTGCTTTCCCTTTCTCTTCCTGACTACAGAAAAGGGCAAACCAAGGGGAGACCCCCACCTCCAAGCCCACAGCCAAGGGCGAGCCAGCCAGGAGCCCTGAATTTGTGACCGCCAAGCTCATCAAGCCCACCTCACCAATGCCAGGGTTGCCCCAGACCTGCCAAGAGCTGGACAGACTCCCTGTCAGCGTTTCCCTGCAGTGTCCAGCCAGAACGGCCGAAAACACCAGGAGTGTCCACTCCCAGACCATGGAGACAGCCCTGGTGCCCTGTGATGCATGCACCAGCGTCCAGGGCAGCCTGCAGGAGGTGGGCAAGATGGTCATCAGCCTGTGTCAGAGCCAGAACTTGCCCTCATCCTTAGGCCAGTTCCAGCATCTGGTGCAGGACAGCATGGGGCTCAGGCCGCTGCCGGCCACCACCATGGGCCACTGGGCGGCCGAGCAGAGCAAAGACCTGGCACGCCTCAGCAAGCACATGGGGGCCCTCACTCAGCTCATGGGGCCCCTCAGGGCCCAGCTGGAGGAGGCTAAGGGGCAGAAGGACAGACTGAGGAAGCAAGTGGGTGAGCTGGAGCAGGCCCTGCAGCAGGAGCAGGGGGCACAGCGGCGGCAGGCGGACGAGGCCGAGCAGCGCCTGGCCCAGTGGGAGCGCGACAGGCGGCAGCTGCTTGCAGGTCTGTGCCTGAGGCCGGACCCTCAGTGCCAGGCTCTGCCACAGCCTGAGCATGGGCTCCCCCGGGAGCAGACCCCGCAACAGGGCTGTGGGTGCTGGGAGTTGGTGTGGAAGAAACCTGGACTGGGAGTGGGCAGCAGACGCAGGGAAGGGGAGGCAGGGGAAAAGGGGTGTGCTCATCAAGCCGGTTACACTGTGGGCAACTGGAGCTTAATCCCACTGGGGAACGCAGGAGCCTGTGTAAAAGTCCGAGTCGTCCCACGAGAGGGGTGAGGGAGCGGCGGATTCATACACTCACTCCTGTCGGTCATCGAAGGGGACTCCTGGGAAGTTCATCCCCCAGGTAGCTCCAGCCAGCTGAGGCCCCTCTTTGGCTTCAGTAGAAGCCGTCAGGCAGAGATGCAGCTATTGCACTCACAGTGGGCCAGCTCCTGCTGAAGTTGTGAGGCCTGAGGGAGTTGGGCAAGTCACCCCCATGGAGGACACTGAAGCCCAGAGAGTCAGCCAGCCGACAGGAAGCAGAGGGGACAGGGACCCAGGCCTCCTGGCACCTCCCCAGAACTCCTCCCACAAGCCCAGGCACTCCTCCACCCTGGCTAGGGCTGCCACCATGCTGTGGGGTGCACCGGGCGTTAAGGCTGCAAGCCAGGCCCAAGGGAGCCTCTGAAGGGCGTCTCTCTCGGCTGCCATAGAAACAAGTGACCTCAAGACAAAGGTGTCCACCCTGGAGGGGGAGCTGAAGCAGCAGCGGGAGTCTACGCGGGCCGTGGGTGAGGAGCCCTGCCATGGAGCCCTGTACTGTGTGCCATGTGCTCGGTGGCTGGACCAGCACTCTCTGTCTCCTGAGCTTTGGGGGCAAAGCTAAAGGGAACCACAGAGGAAGCTGGGTCTGAGAGGCCACACTGTTGGGTGATGCCACCTCCCACCCAGAGAGTACCTACTGTTTTCAGAACCCACCTCAGGCAGGGTTCAGAGCCCCATTTTGTGGCTGAGGACACTGAGGCCCAGAGATGTGCTGTGACCACTGCCCCCCTTCCCAGGTCTTGTCCTGGGTCAGAGGCAGTGCAAGAACTCCCCAGGGCTCCCCCGCTCTACCCCCTCCCCCGCCCGCTCAATCCTGCAGAGGCGAAGGCCCAGGAGCTGCAAGAGGAGGCTGAGCACAGGGCGGAGGCTGAGAGGCAGGTGCAGCAGCTGGAAGAGCAGGTGCAGCTGCTGGCAGGGCGGCTGGACGGAGCCAGCCAGCAGATCCGCTGGGCCAGCACAGAGCTGGACAAGGAGAAGGTCCGTGTCGATAGCATGGTCCGCCACCAGGAGGTGAGGTCAGCGCCTGGTCTCCTGCAACGAAGGGGAGAGAAAGGGCTCCCCACTGACAGGGGGGAGACACTGGAGACCTAAGGAGAATTCCTGAGTGGCGACTGTGACTGGAAAGAAGTGGGGGCGAGGTCTCCAAGCTTGGGGGTCCTGGCCTTGCCAGGGTTGGGGTCTGCTCCCTTCTTCCGTCCACCCCTTCTACTGCACACATGTGCACAGACAGATGTAGCACAACGGGGTGGGCTTGGATACAGCTGCCTCCTTTGTCCTGCGTGTCTGGGCCTGGCCCCATGGGCCTCATGGCCTCCCTCCTGCCCATCCCGGCTCAGTCCCTGCAGGCCAAACAGCGAGCCCTGCTACAGCAGCTGGACACCCTGGACCAGGAGCGTGAGGAGCTGAGGGGCAGTTTGGCTGAGGCCGAGGCCCAGCGGGTCCACGTGGAGAAGCAACTGCAGCATGTGCAGAGCGAGAGGGAGCAGGGGCAGTGCCAGCTCCGGGCCCAGCAGGTGTGAGCAGGCAGGGCGAGGGGGCAGGGGCGGTACTTCCCTTTCTCTGGAGGAACCTGCAGCCAGCTAAGCACCTGCGGGCCTGCCCCGTGCCTGGGGAGTGGAGGTGATGGGGTGTCCCCAGCAGGCTGGGAGCCGGTCCTCAGCTCTGAGCCTCCCCTGCCCCAGGAGCTGCTGCAGAGCCTGCAGCGAGAGAAGCAAGGCCTGGAGCAGGCAACAGCGGATCTGCAGCTGACCATCTCGGAGCGAGAACGTGAGCTCGTGGAGTTGAGGGAGCGGGAGAGGCTGCTGGTGGCCTTTCCGGACCTGCACAGGCCTGTGGAAGCCCAGATCCAAAGTAGGGGCCCGGGGTTGGTGCAGAGGGCACGCTGGGGCTGGGGGTGGGCAGCTGAGGGCTCATCAGGGCAGGACATGGGTCCACAGCAAGGGTGGCAGAGCCCCCACACACACAGGTGCTCTGCGTGTTACCCACTCCTCTGTGTGGATGGGGACACAGAGGCCCAGTGGGGAGCTGACTGCTCAGGGTCACCCAGCCAAATCCAGACCCAGGTCTGGCTACCTGTGTAGCCTGTGCTCTTTACCACGTCACAGGCCAGTCCTTGCTCAGCTTCCATGTCCCCTGTCCTGGCATCTCCCCAAACTACACCATGGGGCCAGCTCCAGGGAAACAGCCCCAACTGTCCAGTATCCATGGGAGTGCTAGGGACCCATCTCAGTGGAAGACTGACTGCCCGGCGGCCTGGGTTCTCGTCCCAACCCCTCCAGTCCCCTGAAGCTCTGGGGTGAATCCCCGTGCAGAGCTGTTGGGATGATCCACTGCAATCTAGCTTGTCATGATAAGTCATCACTTGTGAGTGCTGGGCCCTTGTGTCACCCTGTCAACCGCCCCGCGAGGCAGGTAGCAGCCGCTTGTGAGAAACCAGGAAACTGATAACCAGAGCAGGCAGCACCTTGCCTGGGTTCAGAGTCAGGGGGAGCATCTGTCCCCCCAGCAGTGGGAAAGAACATCCTTGCTGAATTCCTGAGACTCATATCCAAGAGCCGGCTGTGGCTTTGAACGAGTCACTGTCTCCCAGGCCCTCCGGAAACAGGTGGCCTTGGAAGAGCTTCACTTTCTTACCTATGTGCTAAATTTTTGGTGAGCTCCAGGTCCCCCTCAGCTCTCAAATTCTGCAAGGCTTTGGTCACCTCCCAGCAGGCAGGGGAGTAGGGAGTGCAGGGGGAGGGGGGGAACAAGGCCTCAGGAGAAAAAAGATGAGGTGGGAGGTCCAGTATGCTGACCCCACCAACCTGCAGGGCCACCGGCAGGGGACCCTAGGCACGGGGACCCTAGGCATGTACCGGCTGGCGTGTCTGCCCTCTGAGGTCCTGTCTCGTTGGGCACAAGAGGCAGACCTGATGGGGTGGGGTGCCAGAAAGTGGGTCTCCACAGGCTCTGGCAACGTCACGGACGACATGGAGAGGCAGGTGCAGGCCAACGACATCCGTATCCGGGTCCTACAGGAGGAGAACAGGCGGCTGCGATCCATGCTGTCTAAGATCCGGGAGGTGGCCCAGCAGGGGGCCCTCAAGGTGGGCAGCATGGCTCCCCCACCTGAAAGGGGCCGGCCCTTGGGGACTTGGAAGAGGCCCCCAACCCAGGAGAGGTCTTCAGCTTCCCCCAGGGACTCTGCCATCAGCCCAGCTCATTGCACATGGGGCTCTCAGGTGGCTTTAAGCTGTGCTTTTGTGAACCATCTGCCACGATTCAGGAAGGCATGAGGATGTTACCGTGCCTTTAGCTCCAAATCCCCCCTCTAGCCCTTTGAACCTTTATTTCAAGTGCACCAGGAGCCTTATGAGAAAGCAAACCTTCCCACCCTTACCACGGCTAAGGACAGGTCCTGGAAGGCTTTCCAAACTCTGCCCCTCAGAGGAAGGGGCCATGGCGACAGGTTCAGGCCCTCCCGCCTCCTCTATGACACCCTCTCTGTTCGCTGCAGAGGGGATCCTGGGCCTTTCTGAGCTTGGTTTTCTTTGCAGCTGATCCCACAGGACCAGCTCTGGGCCCCTCCCAGCAAGGGAATCCACAGAGCAGCGCCCCCAGCCCAGGCCCAGAGAGCATCTCCAGGGTGAGTGAGGCTTTGTCAGAGGTGGGGCATGTGGGGGTGGGGTGGTCCCCCTCGCTCACAGGGGATCTTGCCGTCTGATCCTCCCTCAGGCCCCTGGGCAGGCAGCACTCACCTGGCAGCAGGACGGCCAGTGCGGGCAGGACCCCACCGGGCCAGCCCCAGGCCTCCCCGCCTCAGCAGCCCTGCAGTCGACCCAGCAAGTCCTCCCTAGAGGATGTGACCCACTCGACCACCTGTGCCCAGAACCCCATCCGGGCCTTGGCCAGGCTGAGAAGGAGACTGTCACCAAGCCGGGGCCAGGCCAGCCCTGCATACCAGCCCCAGGAGCGGCCCACGTAGCCTGCAGTGGGGTGGGGCTGGAGGGCGGGAAGCTGGCAACCCACCCCATGTAATAAAGCCCAGGCCATCTGCTCACAGCGACCTTGGCCTCACCACACTGGCTCAGCAGAGCAAGAGTCCTTCCTTCCCTGTCCTGAGTCCCCAGCCATGTGGGTCATTGGCCAGCAGAGGTCTGGCACACTGTGCACCCTCAGTAAATGGGAGCTTCCTGCCTCCCTCCTGACAGGGACAGTGGAGGAAGAGGACACACTGAGGGCAGAAAGAAGCTTCTAGCACCTGGGCGATGTGAAAGGCAGTCTTTTGATCCTCACTGCAAAGACTAAGGGGTAACATGGACTCAGTGACCCCCACCAATAAAGAGCAGGGTCAGGGTAGGGGGTGCGCAGGGGAAGGAGAGCAGCCGCCACGGTGGGCCCAGTGAGGACACCTGAGGCAAGGAAGGAGTCAGAGGCCAGGGTTCTGGCTCAAGCTCACAAAGGCAGGCAGGGACCACCCAGCTGTGAACCTGGGCATGGGGACATTAAGGATCCAAGAAAATCAGCCCCCCTTTCACTGCGGAACGCCTCACCTTCAGGAAACACAAGTCAGAAAGGGTTTCTCTAAATCCAGGAGGCTGGACCCCCAGGCCACTGAAGGCAGGGCAAGGCTTCACCCAGCCAGAGAGCGGGACACCCCAAGCCAGCCCTGGCTTTCCCAGGCCTGTCCCTTGGGGTCAGGGCACTGATGCCGCCAGGCACACCAGGCCTGCAGTAGTCCAGTTTTCCTCACGAAGCCTCCAGCCTGTCCTGAGCTACCCCGCCTGTGAAGGACAGGCACTAAGACCTTGCTGAGGAGTTCTGGGTGTGGGGGTGGGATGGGGGATACTCTCGGCTTTCTATGACAGTTTTCCCTGGTCAGGAGGCCAACAAGTAGAGCACCTCAGTTTACAGAGAAAAGTCAAGAAGAGCTGTGTACGTAGCTGAACTGGCATGGCCACAGGCTGCCCAACTCTTGCTTCTGTGGAGCCCGGGGGCTCGCTGAGGGAGCCTGGGCTGTCTGGACTGGGCCCCTCCCAGGTGAGAGCCAGCCCTCAGGTGTGCTCCCTGAGGCAGGGGGCCCAGGCCCAAGTGCAGGGGGAGGACCTGTCACAGCCTGGCTCCTCTCTGCATCCATTCAGTAGCTCACAGGTCTGTAGGTCAGACGTCCGGGCCCTGTGTGGGTGGTTTCTCTGCTCAGGGCCTTACAAGGCTGAAATCAAAGCATCTGCCAGGGGCTTCCCTGGTGGCGCAGTGGTTAAGAATCCGCCTGCCAATGCAGAGGACACGGGTTCGAGCCCTGGTCCGGGAAGATCCCACATGCCGTGGAGCAACTAAGCCCGTGTGCCACAACTACTGAGCCTGTGCTCTGGAGCCCAAGAGCCATAACTACTGATCCTGCATGCCACAACTACTGAAGCCTGCACACCTAGAGCCCGTGCTCCACAACGAGAAGCCACCGCAGTGAGGAGCCCGCGCACCACAACCAAGAGTAGCCCCCGCTCGCCGCAATTACAGAAAGCCCACGCACAGCAACAAAGACCCAACGCAGCCAAAAATAAAAAATAAATAAAATAAAAAAAGCATCTGCCTTTCTTTTGCAAGGGTGTGGGGCAGAATCCAGGCTCATTCTGATTGTGGGCAGAATTCTGGTTCTTGCAGCTGTCGAACTGATGTCCATTTCCTTGCTGGTCGCTGTCGGGGCTACTCTGGGCTCTGAGAGGCCATCCAGCTTCTTGCCACATGGCCCCTCCATCTTCAAGTCGGCAACAGAGAATTTCTCAGGCATTGAATCCCCTCCATGGTTCAAATTTCTGAATTCCTCTCCTTCCACCAGCTGGAGAAAACTCTACTTTTAATGGGCTCACGTGGTTAGGTCAGGCCCACTTGGATGCTTTCCCATATTAAGGTCAACTGTGCCATAAAGCAACCTAATCATGGGAGTAAAATCCATCAGCGTCATAGTGCCAGGATCACATAAGGCATGTCCATGAGGGCTGGGGGAATGTTGGGGGCCATTTTAGAATCTGCCTCCCATGGGCAGTAGACTCCAGGGCAACTTGTTTATCTTAAAACATCCACACAAATTTTACATCTTATGTTAAAATATATCCATGTTTAATATTAAATCTCCCGTACCCCAAATCTAAAAAAACGGATGCCCCTGTAAGATGTACCACATTTATCCTGTGGCTTCAAGTATCCTGGTCAGCAACCTGTAACCCCACGGAGAAGCACAGGACTAGATGGTTTCTAAGGCCTCTGGTCCCAGCCAGGCCCCAGAAGGGAGCCCAGCTGGACAGGCCATGGGACCTGCAGCTGCCGGTACCCAAGGACCGAGGGTTAGCAGGCAATGGAAGGGCCGCTAGGTTTAACATCATAGCCTTCAAGATGTGTCATGGAACATGGTCAGGTTAGAGTGCCCCCAAGGCCAGATAGCTCCTCTCCCAACCCACCCCCAATAAATAAGCACAAAACCTGGCCACTGCAGCCTCAGGCCCCAGGGATGCCCTGACAGGCAGGTCAGAGAGCTCCCAGAGCCCTGGGAACAGCAGCACTGCCCACACCTTCTTCCCCAGGTCCCTGGCCAGAGTCCTGGGAGCTGTCTGAGTGGAAGGCAGGCACACCCCAGGATGGCAGAGAAAGGCCCCAAAGCAGCATCTCTTCCTGCTGGGTCTGGGCCCTGCATCCTCAGCCTGGGGGCTGTGGTCCCTCCATCCCAGTGTGGATGTGGTGGGCACCTTGCCCCTCAGCAGGGGAGGCCCCTATCCCTCCTTCCACCCATAGGGTTTTCTGTCCTGTTCCCCCTGCCGTCTTGTTTCAGGCACCCAGGGCCCAGGGCCAGGATGCAGATGGAGGGATGCAGAGATCCCACATGCAGAGATCCAGCTGGGGCAGCTAATCATCTGAGTAGCGGTTCCCTGCAGGAGAGGAGAAAAAATATCAGGGAGGGAGGTGTCAGGTGGGAACCAGGTGGAGATGGTCAAGGGCCCCCACCCTTGGTGCTCACCCAGGACGTTGAATTTGCACAGCGGGCAGGTCTGCTGGATCATCAGCCAGGGGTCCACACAGTCTCGGTGAAACTCATGCTTACAGGGCAGCACCCGGAGCCACTGCAGGGTCGGGGAGATGGCTCAGGCCACAGGCATAGGCCTCCAGTGGGGGTAGCAGGCCCCACGCCCACACCTGAGCTGGGGAACTGAAACCCCTGTGACCTGCCCCACCCCCATGCTGCTTTCCATAGCTCTGGTGGGGCTGGGTGAAGGCCTGGTTGGGGTACTTCTCAGGTCTCTTGGGAGCAGGGTAGGGGGCATCACGTGTCAGCCAAAGGCTGGCCTCTGCCCAGGGCACTAACTTGCTTGTTGCAGAAATAGTCCAGACACACGGCGCAGGTCTCAGCACCAGGCTCCGGGGGGTCCAGTGCCGCCCGGCCCAGCCGGCAACGCCGGGTCTTGAGGGATGCCAGCCTCTGCACCACCTGGCGCTTGAGCAGGTCCACCTGTGGGGTAAGGGCACACAGTTCCCGAGGGCTGGGGACACCAGGGCTCCCGAGGGCCCCCGAGGGCTGGCTCCCACCTGGCCTCGGGGCTCCCGCTGGCTCTGCCGGGATGCCTGCCGCTGAGCTTGGACCATGAGGCCTGTGCACAGGAGCATGGCCACCAGCAGGATGGTGTTCCACAGCTGTTGCAGGGGCTTCTGGGGAGAAGAGCAGGGTGTCAGGGGCACTGGAGCCACCCCACCCTCTTTACCCAGTAAATCCACCCCAAGGACCAGGCAGATGAGGTCCATGGGCACCATGACCCCGGAGGCGCCAGGCTTCCTCTTCTGAAGCTGCTGTTCCCCGCCCCTGCCCCGTGCTCTCTCAGGGGCTGCCCCAGATTCACCCTACATCAGTGCTCAGCCCAGGCCAATCCTGGGCAACAAACCTGGTGTTTGTGCACTCACAGAAGCATCTACTTACTGGCAGCCTCACAGACTCCCCAGCCCAGGACCCCCATCCCTACCCAGCACTCCTCCTGGTCTGCTTTCCTGGCTGCCATCACCCACCCACCCACGCCCATCCAGGCTGAGCATTCACAGCCTGAGAGGGCGCTAGTCCCTAGGCCCTGTCTCCTCACTCCCTAGAGGCCCCGCACGCCCCTCCTCTCCTCCCCACTCTGCTGCTCTTCAGGTGCCCTGCTCAGGCCTCACCCGCCCAGGTCCCACCCACAGTCACAGGGATCTCACCTGCAAACCCGATTACACAGCACCCCTACTTGACCCTTCCCTCTGATGCTCCCCTCCCACCTCCTCCGCATTCCCCATCCTCAGGAGGAAACCCAAACTCTTCTACCAGGGGGCCCTCAAGGCCCTTGATCTCCACCCCTCCCCCCTCCCCCATCCCATGCTCCTTGCCCCTCCCACGTCTGTGCCTTTCCACACTGTTCCAGGTCTTGGGAACTAATGCTCTTCCACGCTCCCTCCCTTGGCTTATGGCTTTGGACACCTCTTGCTCTGGAAGCTCTCCCTGACCAACCCTGCCAGGCAAATGTTCCCCCCTCACCTCCTCTGCCACCCTCCTCATACCCACTCTGCCCTCAGCGGTCCTCCAGCTCCCGCTGGTGGGAGGGAACCACGTCTGAGGTACCTCACTTCGCCTTTGAGAGGCCCCCAGGGGGACACACTGACCTAGACTGAACTGCCACCAAATCCAGTGCGGCAGACAGGCTGTGACCACTCAAGAGCTGGCTCAGGAGGTGACACAGCGGAGGAAACAAGACCCAGCCGCTAACCCACCAGCACACGGGCCTGCGGACGTGTCACAACTAATAAATGCATTCGTTTAAAAGTTTTCTGCCTTGGGCTTCCCTGGAGGCGCAGTGGTTGAGAGTCCGCCTGCCGATGCAGGGGACATGGGTTCGTGCCCCGGTCCGGGAAGATCCCACGTGCCGCAGAGCGGCTGGGCCCGTGAGCCACGGCCGCTGGGCCTGCGCGTCCGGAGCCTGTGCTCCGCAACGGGAGAGGCCACAACAGTGAGAGGCCCGCGTACAGCAAAAAAAAAAAAAAACAAAACTTTTCTGCCACCATGTTCTTCCCCAGCCAATGCTGAAGTTCAAC